TATACAGATCAGTGGTATCGCGATATTGGCTCAAAAATTGGACCGTCAGTGTGACAGACACATACTTTGATTTTCTTTTACTATACGGAGAATGGTCAAACTGCGCAGCTTTCTGAGTGCCTTTTAAAAGGAGATAGAAAACTCCGCCATTTTGAACCCTTATTACGTGTTGCCTACATCTTGGCGCAATATTTTTAATAGGTGCGTTTTAATCATCCGCTTCTGCTTCGGAATTGTCGGTTTTCTTGTTTTAATTTGACAGGTTAAAACGACTAAACCGACACTTCCGGAAGCAGAAGCGGATGATTAAAACGCACGTAATATTTTGCTTGCTGCTGTCAGTGTCAGTGAATATTATTTTTGAAGTCACAGTTTATTGCTAAAGAATCAGTTAGCTCACTCGGACCAGTTGAAAGTTCCAAAATAACATCTACTCCAGGGATACAAATTCAGGATACGCAGAAGACTGCTGTTTTATTATAGGCGGTTGTCATATATTGTATTATCCGAGTTGCACAGTGTATAAACTGAAACATTGAGATCCAAAGTGCCGACGCAGAGTGAGCGATCTGATTCTTTAGCTGTAAACTGTGTCACAGGGTTCAAAATGGCCGCGCCCTATGTTGGGCGTGTCGGACCTCTCTCTTCCCTCGTATAGTAATCAAAGTATGTGGTGACAGAGCATGGAATGTTAGGTATCCTCAATAATCAGATCCTAATTTGTAACCTTTTATTAAGTTAAAAAAAATAGTAGTATGTGTGAATTGATTGGTTATCTCTATCAGTGTTGCCAACCTTGAAGTAAGATTTGTCCCTCCACATCCTTTAAAATTCCCACTTTTATGAAATTTTTGTGAAATTTCTAAAAAAAAAAAAGTCCTCAGCATCATGTTATAAACCAGGTCCTGTCGGGCTTCTGAAAAAAAAAAGATCCTCAGATTTTATACCAGAAATACAAGTGTGTATCATAAATCTTTTAAAAATACTTTAAATATACGTCAAACAGCAAATTTTATTTTATTTTTTTAGTTAAATTTTTCCATTTTTTTCCCTTTTGTGTTAAAAACTCCCGCAAAACGGGAAATTTTCCTTCGGTTGGCAACACTGATCTCTATATTCAATATATTGCCAAAACTGCTGATCGGGATGTTTCAGTTTCCGTCTTGCAGTCAGGGTCACATCTGTTGTCTCTAAAGGGGCATACAGACGCTCGCGCATGTATTAAGACATAAATGCACGTAATATAATATGTAGGTCTACTTTTATTTCTACACGTACTTTTCTTTTATCTAAGACACGTACATACTTGTATGTCAGTTTTCTCCGCGTCGTATTGAAAGTTTGTCGCCATGTCAAGCGGAGATGAAGTATTGGCGTCGGTCACAAAGAAAATGGTTTAAAGATTGGCTATTAAAGAGGAACCAATATTCTCATATTAGTTTACTTAAAGAGCTACGATTAGAATCTGACGGTTGGAGAAACTATCTCCGGATAGTTATGTAACACTTCTTTCGAATAACTTCTTAAATCTGTCATGTTTACAAAACAAAAATAAATAGCCTTAAAAAACCAGTGTAAGTTTTTGTTTACACACAGGAATACATGTTTTTCGCATACAAATCTGTGCGGACTTGAATTCAAACGAAAACAGAAAACATGTGCGTCGGCCTTTTTGCAAAAGATTTGTCTACACACTGACGAACATCACCACCCGTACATCAACGTGCGTTGATGTCTTAATGCATGTCCGAGCGTCTGTAGGTCACTTAAGAGCAGTAATGCAGGAACGGCTTAGAGAATATTCGTTACAATTATTACAATAAAATTATTTTATTACAGAAATTCGGTACAACACACTCAAAAACTAATAAGTAATACGGTTCTTTCTTGATAATGTAACAAAAAAAAAACACATCTCAATCTAGGAATTGTTAAAAATGACGGCCACAAACCTCTTGGCGACATCCTAATCTGAATAAAAATGTATTCTAACGTTACTTAACATCTCAGGCGTGACCGATCTAATCGCGAGGGTTATTTGTCTTCTTAAGCCAGCTAGGTCGGGAGGTTTAGTTTTGTATATTATATTTTTGACCTATTCTCAAAAGAAAAAGTCTAATGATGTCAGATCAGGAGATCGTGCTGGCCGTTTCATCGATTCTCACCACTAATTTGGAAATACTCGATTGAGGTATTGCCGGACATTGATTTGATAATGAGGCGGTGATCTATCTTGCTGAAACCATAACATATTCGCTGGAACTTGTGGATTTGCTGGATCGGGATATAAGTTCGTTAAAGTTGGCACGACATTATTTTGGAGTACTGCTAAATAATTATCGTCATTTAAATTGCCATCAATAAAAAAAGAACCTATGATATGATTGCCAACAATTCCTGCCCAAACATTAACCTTTTCAGGGTATTGCGTATTTTCTTCTCTCATCCGTTAAGGATTTTTCCTAGACCAACTGTGGTAATTTTGACGATTAGCATGACCGTGAAGTATAGAGGTACACTCATCAGAAAATAAAACATGTTCTAATTGGATCATCATTTTTATAATTATTTTCTTTTAACACGTAGTAAGAGCAGCACTTAACCTCGATCTATTTACTGTTAATTCTTTAGAGACATACGTCACATTAAGGAAATTAGATTATCTGCATGCGAACTGAATTCAAAATAAACCAAAATATTTACAAAAAGAGACATACCTAATTTGTATACGGCGGCGAAGTCGCCTTTTAACTAACAACCAAATTAACATTGTTAATAATTATTTCGAATTTACCGAAACGGCAGTAACTCGTTTCAATTATTCGTCTCGTCTCTCTATCTCGGCAAATATTTGTCATTGTTCTAATCGTTACGCGTCGCGATATTTGATTAAAATAGAATTTAAATTTGATTTCGAGGAATCGCTATTAGTAGAGTGTAAGTATTAAAATATTCGCTCTAGAAGACAATTTACCTCCCACACTTTTGTCACAAGCTGAATTTTTCAGAGATGAAAAGTCCCTTATTCCGGAGGTAATACATAATTAGACTATGCAGAAGGGCACTATCATTAAAAATCCAGATATTAATACCGCCGAATAGAGAAAAAAAAATACTTATTTTTTTGGTCCAATGTACAATAATATCTTTGTAGTAATTTTCTATACTTATTTAAAAAAAAATCATTTGCATTAGCCCTTACACCGGGAAAAAAATGTAAACGTAAGTATCTCTGTATCAACTCTTCAACAATTTTGTTAAAAAGTCGTCTTTTTTAAATAAACCACTTATTTAACAAAAAAGGAAAGCCTAAATAAAAAAAAATCCTTTATAGAAGTTTTACTTATGTGATGACAAGGTAACAGAGTATTTTTTTCTTTTGAACTAACAAAGATATAATAATCAACGACGAGATGTCATAGATTTACGTTGCAATTAATTCTGGGCGCTAATTTCATCGACTATCAGTGTTTCTATCTCTTCTCCTTCAAACGTAGCATAGCTCTGTTTCTCTCTACGTGTCAACTATCAAACTGATTGCATACAACTCAGCACTGAGAGAGATGCATAGAGAGTCGAGAGACTTTGCGTTCAATGCTCGCTATTCTGTAAAACCATGACATCACTAATTGTTTATTGCTATATTTAAAATCAAAAAATATGGGAAACGCACTCTTACCTTGTCAATACATAGGCGAAACTTTTATGAAGAATATTTTTTTTTATTTAGGCCTTCGTTTTTCGTCAAATGAAAGGTATATTTCCAAAAAAAGATTTTTTAACCAAATTTATGGACGGTTGAAATTGAGATATTTACGTTTAAATTTTTTTTCGACCAAATGATTTGTTTTAAATAGTTATAAAACAATACTACCTGCAAAGACCTAATTGTGCATTGGACTAAAAAATAAGTATTTTTTTCTCTCTTCGGCGGTATCAATATCTGGATTTTTGATGATAGTGTCCTTTTACACAGTCTAATTTTGTATTACCTCCAATTAGGGTTAGTTTATCATATACTTTTATCAGTAAAAAATTCAACTTGGGAGACAAAGTCAAAATAAGTTTTAATATACACCATACTATACGGTTAAGTATGTTACTAGAATTTTAAATGTTTTCCTTACTTAATTTTAAGATAAAAAGTTTATATAAACGTAAGTCCTAAACGGCTTTATTTTTAAAATACAAGGTGTTGAAACATATAAAAAAATATGATTTTCCTAAATATCTTGAAGTCGAAAATTAGTATTAAATTAAAACTTCGTGAAAATGTTTATTGCAGCAAAAAGAATTGTTTTACGCAATCGATTTTACCAGTAGCGTGCGCAGAGGTAACTAATTTAACTTTAAAATTAAAATGACTGATTTTGACTCTGGTGACGAAGCCTAGACTTTGAGAAACTTTTAAATATACTTAAAGTGAAAAATTAAAATACATGAAGTTTAATAAATATACTAATGAATCAATCAATACTTTAAAATATTATAATGAATTTTACAATTTTCCAAATTCGATATTTGACATGTTTTAATTTTGACGTTATTGACAGTTATTGACAACACAAAAATGTGTATCAATAATAATACTCGTCCTAATTCACCCACTTACGAGTGAATTTCAACCCCTGAAGCCAACAGAGTGACTTGTGTAAGGGAAGGGACAGCTACTATTATTATTTGCCGTGGCACTCCGGGGAGACTTAAAGATGATTGATGGCGTCATTTAAGGAAAATCCGGAAAACCTCACCCACCATCATAATATACATACAAGTTCTAAATCCTCGAAAGGTTATCGACACTAGATTGTTGATTAGATAATATGGGGTTCCAAGAGCTATAACGGTTACATTTTATTATTAATTCATAGAAAACTCTACCTGTTACAAAGTACTTTAGCAAATTATTTTAGAATTTGAGACAATATTCCCTTATTAATTAGAATTCATCATCTCCAATGAAAATATTAGGTTGACGTCAAGACAATTTTTCTTTTCAGGCCTTCGTGGAAAGCAACAAAAGCATAAAATGGTGCCCTGTACCGGACTGCGGAAGAGCGGTTAGACTTCCAGAAGCTGAAAGAACAAGTGTAGATGGACAAGCTAGTGGAAACACAACTAAGAAGTCGCTACCAATAACGTCGCACGCTGTTGATTGCGGAAACGCACATTTTTTCTGTTGGGAATGTCTCGGTAAGTTATTTTAAGTACATTATTGAGTTACTTATTTATAGAGTAGGACAAGATTATGATGGCAAGTCGGAACTAGATGAGTACTGGCAAATTGGATAGAAATTTCCCTTTAGAATGAGACATAAATAAGGCTGATAGCGTCTTAATGTATATCAAAAATGATTTAATTTACTAAACAAATTATTAATGTCGGTATACACAAATATTTAAAAGTTAAAATTAAGATCAATGGCAAGCAAAACCGTTATTATAACAGGCATATATAGATATCCTAACACAAATGTTAATGATTTTATGAGCAATTAGACTATACTTCTAGAGAATACGTAGAAGAGAGCATTTTCCTGGCTCCAACTGACAAAAAAGAAATTATAAGAATCATCAACTTCCTAAAAAATAACAAAGCCCCAGGTGTAGATGATATGACAGCGGAAATTTTAAAAGAAGTTTCTATTGAAGTATGTTCCTTATAAATCTAATGTTCCAAAATGGTATTTGTCCAAAGGAATTTAAATCTGCCAAAATAACACCAATTTTTAAAAATGGAAACCAAATTATTGGCCAATATCTTTAATTTCTAATGTTGCAAACTAATAATAGTATATACCTACATGATTTGAAGCTCATTACACCACCAACTCCAAACACCAAAGTTAAACAAACATTCTGTTTTATCGTTTACTAATCCTGGACAATGTGTTTAGGGCAGGCACACGCTCCCTGCGGCTGTAAGCAATGGCAGGAATGGCACAATCACATCAGCGAAGTGAAACCTGAAGAACTAAAAGCATCTTGTAGTGGTACAGAAGACGCAGCAAACTGCTTATGGCTCGTGACCAATTCTAAACCTTGCCCTTGTTGCAAGAGTCCTATACAGAAAAACGAAGGCTGTAACCATATGAAGTGTTCAAAGGTATTTTTTTTTTCCTATTTTACATTTAGTCTAGAAGCTTAACCCTTTTTAAATTCGATATTTACTAATATTTTCCAAAGTTTTTCCAAATAATCAATTAATTAAAATTTGTAAAATATAAAAAATTTTTAGTGCAAATACGATTTTTGTTGGGTCTGCCAAGAATCTTGGAAACGACACAGTTCCGCTACCGGTGGTTACTTCCGCTGCAACCGGTTTGAAGCTGTCAGCAAAGCCGATGAAAAGCAAGGAACTTTAATCATTGAAGCTCTAGATAGAAATAATCAAATGCAAGAAATGTCGCGGTTTCTTCATTTTTATACCAGATTTAAAAATCACGAGAACAGTCAAAAGCTCGAAGAGATCCTGTTGACCAGCGTGAAGCAAAAAATGGAAGTGTTGGCTAGTAGTTTAGGACCAGCTAAAGGCGATGGTAAAATCTAAAAAAAATTAATAAATGTAGCTCAATTTTAATTAATTTATTTATTTACAGAAATTATAGACAAAAGCACAAATTTTATAGAAGACGGAGTTAGAGAACTTCTCAAAGCAAGAAGAGTGCTATGTGGTTCGTATGTTTATGGGTTCTATCTTGAAGATGATGGCATTAACAAGACAATCTTTGAGTTCATGCAGGTAATTTTTCAATTTATATAGTTATTTTGTTTTCCATTATTTTTCCAATAAAATCGAATATTGGCTAAATTTGTGTATTTCTTAGAATGAGCTCGAAGAAGTGACTGAAAACTTGAGTGAAATGATTGCCAGACCTTACCTACGCACACCAAAGGCTGTGATAATTCAAACGTCTGCTCTTGTTCGAAGAAAACGACACGAATTTGTAAGAGCAGTCGAACAGGGTCTCATACCCCCTGAAACTCCACCCATGCAAAGAAAGAGGAGGAAAAAATATATCGATGTAAGTCTTGTTATGCTAATAATAAAAAAAATTGCTATAGTTTTTATTTTTTGTAGTCTGATTTATCTCAAACCTGCACTTGGTTAAAAGACTGCGAATGGCCTGAATATGATACAGACGAAGAGACTGACATGGGTGTTACCCACAAATCTTTTTGTACATGTAGAAGAAATAAACCAGAAGAAATTAACAGTATTTGCAATACTAATTGTAATAGTAAGTACAACAATACGTTCTATAAGCCTGGAGTATTTAATATTGACCCCACTGTAGAATCCCACTACAATATGGAATTGATCATAGCTCTAGAAATGTCGCGCCTTCAAATGATAGAAGACAGAATGAAGCAAGCTCAAGCCAATCAACAGACCATAACGCCCGATCCTAGTTCTAACAATAGCACGGAAAGCTCTTCTGACGATCAGTTGAAACTGGCCATACAACTGAGCCTTCAAGAATCTACTGCTGCTATCAGCAAACAACTACAAGAAAAAGAAAGGGCTAATTTAGAGAAAAGCATAGCTGAAAAAAGTCCTTTAGAAAAGATAGCGATGGAAAAGACAAACGCTGAGATAACAGTGGATTATTTTTTGAAATCATTAACGAGTGAGAATTTAGATATAAGGTGTCTGGATAAAATGAGTGAAGAAGGAATGGAAATGGAAATATCGCTGCCTTGTAAAGGGAATGAAGATGGCACTTTTCAGATATCTGATATCCACGAAAATGGTGAGTTTAACCAAAAGAAACAGTTTTTATGCCGATCAATAATAAACAAAAAGAGATAAGTTATAAACATAGTTTCAAATACTAGGGTAAAAAGTATCAACTAGTTTACGACGAGGGATAATTTTATTTATTACTTTTAAAGTTTTATTGTACTAGAATACTGAAAAGGGCCATTTGTTTGCGACAATACCTTTAGTCGTAAATATTAACAAATATAAAGACCATACGTAACTTAAACAGTCTTTCTTTTTTTTTTTTTGGTAGTTGCTTTTCTCGCTTCAGGAGAACTGGCTATTTAGGTGCTTTAGGTTTTTTGGTTGGACTACCTTTATTTGACTTTTTGACCTTTGTTGGAGCCTTAACCTTGGCAGGTGAAGCAATTGATGTGGCAGTTTTTAAAGCATCGGTTCCCTTATTATCTTTTTTGCTTTTGAGGCTTTCTTTTTTGCTTTGAGATTTCTTTGATTTCGTTAATTTCTTGGCTGCTTTTGGTTTTCTCCGTTTGTTGTTATACTACGTTTTTCTGTCGTAGTTTTTTTGGTTTAATCACTAGCGCTCTTCTTTTCTTTGTTAGAACTAAGCTTAGCTGAACCTAAAGATGTTAAAGAAACTAACTTGCTTGCACCTTTACCTTTTGTTTGTAACAATGAATCTGAACAACTGATCCCTTTAGATACTTCTTAATGAAAGGAGCAACCTTTTCTGCATCTACTTCATAATTGGCTGCGATTAATTTTTTAATAGCTTGAAGTGAAGACCCTCCACGTTCCTTTATTGACCATTTCTGAAGTAGGTGGATGAGATGGTTTCGTTTTCGAATTTTTAGTTTGTTTTTTTAGTTTTTTTCATAATAATAACTCCTTTGCAGAGCCCTCATTCTAGTCGGTGACGAATAATCTACAATTTTATTTAATTAGTTTTTAAAACCAGGGTATTTAGTTAAGATGGTCCTTGTTTATTTCAAGAGGATAATAATTACTTTCTATTGTTAATCTTTTGATATCAGGTTTATTTTACCAAGCAGCCTATTGAATCTCAATTACAAACTTTTGAACTTCTTAGTTTAATTGTTTTTTAGTCTTTAATAAAACATTTAGTTTAACACTATTTGAAAATACTTCATAAAATCCTTTCCAATTAGTTTTTTGGTTGACAAGGTTTGCATTTTGACCTGCTACTTCTTTCAATTTTATTTCATTAACGTATAAATCTTCATCTTAAATACGACTATAATTCATGTATGCTGTGATATTTAAAATATGTTTTTTAAGGTTTTGCTTTTGAAGACGGCGAAGAGTACGACAGCGACGTCCGTTTAAAGCGCTCCCACTCCACCGGCGATTTATGCGTGCGCAGAAGCGGGCGCGGCAACCGAATCCGCCCGAACGCCGACGAACCTCGTTACCATCTGGATTCGGATCACAGTAGCCAGCACGAGGACAAGCCCGAGGACGCGGTAAGAAGACTGATGGCCTTGCCTGCTGCGACAGCGAAAACCAGGCAGTTTTTGCTTTTGCACACCACTTATCCTGAAGAGGATATCTATCAGGAGCAGAGCTCGGTGGAAGATACCACGACTTCCGATTCCATTATTGCCGATCAAGAAATTTGCGGCATTTTGAGTTCTGTCACCGATGAAGATATAGGTAAATATACACAAAAAAATGTTGAGGAATTTAACGGTGTTGGTGCCATACATGAGTAAGGTGGATTTGATAGGAGAGAGAAGAAAACGTCCTTTAAGTCTCACAGAGTTAATAATCGGTTTTACAATATTTGATTAATAATAACAATGTTTTCATTTTGTTTAACTTTCAGGGATATTTAAATATAATTTTAATATTGAAACTGCCATTTTTCCTGAGGTATGGAAATTATCTGGCGTTACACCAGTATCGGTATATAAAAAGAAAAACCAAAGATGATATTGACAACTGAAAAGCCATTATAATACTCTATAATTTCTCTAAAGTATCCTAAATTGTCATCTGCTGTCATTTGTACCGACTTCTGTAAGGCATTCGACAGGATAATCTACCTATATCTGCTTTTTTCTTTTCAGGCAGTAAGACTTACGTCGATGAAACTAAAAAGACTGAAGAAATAGCCAAAATAACCGAATGCAAGAAACAAACGCATAACCCCTTTTCGTCGTTGAAAGCGAAGTTGTGTTCAGCCCATTTGCCCAAAACAAATTACTTATCTAAAATAGCCGTTAATAAAAACATTGGACTACTCGGAGAAAACAAATTGTGTAAAAATTCCGATCAAAAATTGTACGAAAATACGAAAAATAGAACGAAAGAGAACGGTGATAAAAAGTTCGTTATAATTAGTGAGTGTAAAAGTGAAAAACAGAGTCCAAAGAAGCACCATAAGAGTTGCAGAAAAAGTATATTTTCAAAGTCGACGGGATTTTTGGTTGAAGAACAGAAAAAAGCAAGTAGGGGTAAGTTTACAGAAGTTCTAAAGTCTTTAAACAGATCACTTTATTCAGGGTAACCACTACATACACTGTATCATCCTGTAGGATTGTCTATAGTTAAATTATGATGACACCCTATGGATACTTAGTCTATTATAAAAACCTCACTTTGATAATAATTATATTAACAGGAATCTACTGGTCTCTTTTGATAGTGAAATTACCATGATGAGATTTAGCTTTATGAAATTTTGTTGCTTTTATTACCGCATCTTCGTGATATTTGTCTTCAGCCATTAATCTTACCCTAAATACTTTTAATGAGGAATTACTCCACTGGACTTCCAGTAGAACGTGGGGCTTGATGTGATGTGTATGCGATGTGAGATACACCAAATCTTCTGTATTAGTAACGGAAGAGAATTCTATCAATAAAATTTGTACACTTAGACATGTAATTAACTCGCCACATTCCGATATATGACAGGGTTGGCCTTAGTGTTTATATTCCTGAATATTACTGGGCATTGAAGATAAAAGACTGACCATATCACACTATCTTATTATACTTCTGCCTTAATTTATTTAAGTTTATAGTAAACGTTTTCCTGAATTATAAGACTTTAGTAATCGTGACAATTGGTAGAAGCAAGAGTTTCCCTAATTTATAGTTAATTACTTTGTTCCACACTTAAACAAATGTCTGTACCACATTAATGAAGATGGTAATCAAACATTTCTTTCCTATACAGTTTTTCAATTACATCTATGATTAAAAATCATTAGACAAAAACAGAGAAATGAATGAAGATCCTACTTCGAAGAAATAAAAGATTTCCCGCAGGTAGCGGGGCTTCAAAAGGCTCTCTCAACAGATAAACACTGCAGCATTGATGCGCTAATCAAAGAGGAAGGCATAAAAACTGCCAACCTCGAAGATAGCATCAAAATTCTGCTGTCAATACACTTCCCTGACTCGGTCATCACAGATGTGACTGACTAGGTAGAGGAAGAATATAACCCATCTCTCTATGATTGGCAAACTGCCAAATACATTGTAGACGATGACAAAATTAAATGATACATATCTAGCTTCTCTCCATTTAAATCGCCAGGACCTGACGGTATCTATCCAGCACCTGGTAGATATGTTATGGTAAGAATGGGGTATTAATACACTGCTACCTTAAAGATTTATTGTAACCCTTTCTGTCGCTAATGCAGCAAGAAAGTGTCTCAATGCCTATAACGACCCTTCCAATCCTATTTTCTCAAGGATTTGACCTGGTAGGTAAATTTAGATCCTCGTTGGCTCTGAGGTACCTATATCCCCACAAATTGGTGAGAGGTAAAAGTTGACAGCTATCCGTAAAAAATTCAACCTAACAGGAGCCTGAAAACCATACCGACCAGAGCCATGGAAGTTACAGTTAGGCTCACTTCCCTTGATATTTACATCAAGAAGGTTGCTCTGATGATAATGACACACTTCCGCACAGTTAGAATAGAACCTAATATAGGATTTGGTAAGGTGGACGTCGCTTTTGGCAGGAGCCGCTCGATACGCTCCCACTGTTTCAAACGAATGTGGACTCCATCTCGCCAAGATATATCTTCCATAAGCCATATAAAGTTAGACCAAAATAAATAGAATAGCCGGAGGTAGTAGGTACGATTCGTATTTACACCGACGCGACGGTTCTAAAACAAAACAGGGCTCAGGATGTGTAATATACTCCAGATTCTTAAACCTAAACATAAAATGGGCTGCGGACAATAGTGCTAGTGCAGTTCAAACAGAGCTGAAGATAGCAAACAAGCACTACTCACCCTGAACAGACCAGTAATTTACTCAGGGTTAGTTAATACTAGAATATCACGAAGCTTTGGCCGAAGTATCCATCAACTTAAGATAGAGCAAAGGTCACGCCACATCAAAAGGTAGCCATCTTGTTAAATCACTGGCCAAGAAGGCAGCCAACCAAATACTTTTTGGACCTGACCCTTCTACTCTTCTATTGGCCTGACAAAATTGGTAGTGACAGACCTAATTAAAGAACATTCTCTTATGAAATTCAAGAAAAGATGGGATGAAACAAGACACTGCAGAGTTACCAGGGAGTTCTCAAGTTATCCTGACAACACTACAGCAAATAAACACTTGACTATGACTGGACAGAATCTGCGCTTGGGCACAGGCATTCTGACTGGTCATTGCCAAGTGCGGAAGCATCTTGGGGTTGTCACAATCCGTACTCTGCACAAGGGGCAAACAAGAAGATAATACCATCGAGCATATCCTCTATGATTGCCTTACGTTCTCATTTATTAGAAGATTTCTGTTCGGCGAGTATTGGCTAACACCGGCCTATATAAAAGAAGCACCTCTTGGCGGCGTTGTCTACTGCATAAAATCTGTAGGCTGCCTCACAAGCTAGGAGGCGCCTAATATGCACAATGGACCTAGTAAGGCCTTAGTACCGTGTGGTAACCCACCCTCTAGACATTACATATGAAGATACATCTTTGATCTCATGGGCTCTCTTTGAAGCTATTCTAATAGTCTGAAATTATGTTATTTCTTCATTAACTCTTTTAAATCATTTAAGTAAAAACATTTTTAAATTAATTCTGAAATTATATGGAACAAAAAACTTAATTTGATAGTTTAGTAATAATTATCGTTTTGGTACATATTTTAATCTAAAACATCCAATAAAAATGTATGTAAGTTTTGCAGTTATTGCTTTAAGTGGAAGTAGTAAAGTCTAATCCAGGTTAGTGTTTTCTTTTATTTTTCTTGAATTAGCAGGTCTGCAGCTTCTGCATAAAAAAGGAATTGTTACGAGAGCCTCCAATTCCACTGAGGGTCCTCTTGGTACAAGTTAAAATCATTTTAAACAAGAAAATATATAGTTAATATTTTTTACAACAATTTTCAGGTTTATCATCAAACCTACGTATCCAAATTTGCAAGAACCCCCTGAAACGCACAGATCAATTCTTAGAAACGGATAGTTCTAACGAATACGAAAGCGAGACAGGCATTCCGAAGTCCCCAACTCTTTTTATATCCGGTGTTTCAATATCCCGAACTCCAGAACCAAAATCCCCAGGAATGAGCCTCATCCAGAACGGCAGACCATCGCGCTCCTCCAGGTAAGCTCCAATATATTTCTTGTAAATTCCAGAGAAGTAAATGTTTTCTAGTTTCAGTATCCCTCTGCCGCTGACCTCCTGTTCGCTTAGTATATCCAGTACGAGTCTGAATAATTGTTCTTCCTTGCCTCCGGAGTTGTGTACGACCACTGCTACTAAAACCAACAGCACGCCTGTGTCTTCCAGGTCGAATCTTCAAACGCCCAGCGCGAGTCCTTCGAGATCGAATGTGGAAAATGGAAAAGCCAGAAGTGCCAACGAGCCCGAGAGGGAAAGAGAAATGTTCAGGTAAGTTAATTGAATTTAAAAAAGTCAGTGGCACAGAGCAACCGTAAATTAGAGTAGAATCTCCTAATGAAAAGGGAAAATGCCCATTTTGTTTGAGCACCATTGATCTACATTTTGACAGTTGTTACTTGCGACTGAGTATTATAGTTTACTAATAAAATTGCTGTGGAGGCGACTTTTTCCTTGTGTCTGAGTAAAAATAATTTTATAGTTTGTAAGAAGAGTATCTTAAAATGTGTTGTTGGAGTATCTATTTAGAAAGAGGTTAGGTTTTCTTCTGGTTTATAATTCCTTCTTTTAGTTAATTACCTGAGATGTGACAAACCATTATCTTGACAGTTAAGGCTGTTCTACCGCTTTCCGTTCGGTCGAAGTTGCGAGCTATCTCATCCATTTCATAGAATATTTCTGTACGCAATGTTACCTTTTTTCTAGATTTCTATGTTGTTAATTATTTAATAAGTAATTTAGTTTAAATTGTTGACATGTGTGGATTCAAAAATTGACCAGGACAAATAAAATTAGAGTAGCTTGACCTGTTCGCGGGCCAAGATCTACTTTAAGATAAAATAAAAGATATTAAAGTAAAGCAATGACAAAAAAAGTTGAGCGCCACCAAGTTTTTCAGTAACTTGGAAAACTTCTGATTCTAAATGTCCTGTTTAAATGAGTGTCTCTGGTACTTAAAGTTATCTGTAAGAGTTGTGGCAAATAAAAGAAACTGAGAAAATTTAATACATTTATTAAAAAGTGAAAGATTAATTTTACAAATTAGATAGTGAATGAGTTGAATGAATGAATGATAAAATTTACTGACGATACTGATAGATGGTGGTATTTTGGTACGTAAGTACGGTACTTTCCTTTTTATAGCTAAAGGCAACTAGCAAGGAGCTTCCTGGAGGACTTTGGAGCTTCTTAATACGTTTTAGAGCTTCTTCTTAGAGACGGTCCTTGGAGACAGTACTTCTTCTTTGAGACAGTAAAGATAGTACTTAGCCTCTTCTTGTTGGAGACAATATTTGAAGGTATAGAGTATTCTTCTTGGATACTTGGAGGAGTACTTCTTGGATACTGGGAGGAGTACTTCTTCTTGGATACTGGGAGGAGTACTTCTTCTTGGATACTCGGAAGAGTACTTCTTCTTGGATACTGGGAGGAGCCACTACAGGTTAAGAAATAAAAGGACCTGAGTACCGTGTGTAAAAGTACATATACATGCCAGTTTGGAAATCTAACGGATTTATGCATAAACGGAATGAATATAAAATATCACGACAAATATTAAAGTTACGTCATCTGAACAAAATATAAAATATCACGACAAATAATAAAGTTACATTATCTGAACAAAATATAAAATATTTATAAGGCAAAAATAAGTTAGGAGCACATTTATATTAATAGATATAAGATAGCTTAAAAAATATTATTAATTAGGGTAGCTATAATCTATATAAAATGAAATAGAATATAGAAGCATGGAGGTAAATAAAAAAAAGCACATGGCCGAGCTTTGGTTTTGCAACTAAATCCAGTAAAATGGGAATAAAAGAAAAACATTTACCTGACAATTATCCCAACGTTCACACTTAATAAACACAAATTAAAGAATTAAAGAATTAAGGAAAACTATTCATAGTAGGCACATTTATCGGTACATCCGACACATTGAACTCGAGACATCAGAAAGAGCGATTGATTCCAAGCGAATCGGTTTTGTGACCACTAGATTTTGCGCGCAAACGGTGCTTTGTGTAAAAATCGATAATGGTATTAATGCTAGGGCCAGAGTCTTTTACTATACGGAGAATGGTCGCACTGCGCAGCTTTCTGAGTGCCTTTTAAAAGAAGATAGAAAACTCCGCCATTTTGAACCCTTATTACGTGTTGCCTACATCTTGGCGCAATATTTTTAATAGCTGCGTTTTAATCATCCGCTTCTGCTTCGGAATTGTCGGTTTTCTTGTTTTAATCTGACAGGTTAAAACGACTGAACCGACAATTCCGGAAGCAGAAGCGGATGAATAAAACGCACTTGATATTTTGCTTGCTGCTGTCAGGTGTCAGTGAATAATATTTTTGGAGTCACAGTTTTTTGCTAAAGAATCAGTTAGCTCACTCGGACCAGTTGAAAGTTCCAAAATAACATCCACTCCAGGGATACAAATTCAGGATACGCAGAAGACTGCTGTTTTATTATAGGCGGTTGTCATATATTGTATTATCTGAGTTGCGCAGTGTATAAACTGGAACATTGAGATCAAAAGTGCCGACGCAGAGTGAGCGATCTGATTCTTTAGCTATAAACTGTTGCATAGGAATCAAAATGGCCGCGCCTTATGTTGGGCGTGTCGGACCTCTCTCTTGCCCCGTATAGTAATCAAAGTATGTGGTGTCAGTGAATATTATTTTTGAAGTCACAGTTTTTTGCTAAAGAATCAGTTAGCTCACTCGGACCAGTTGAAAATTCCAAAATAACATCCACTCCAGGGATACAAATTCAGGATACGCAGAAAACTGCTGTTTTATCATAGGCGGTTGTCATATATTGTATTATCCGAGTTGCGCAGTCTATAAACTGGAACATTGAGATCAAAAGTGCCGACGCAGAGTGAGCGATCTGATTCTTTAGCTATAAACTGTTGCATAGGAATCAAAATGGCCGCGCCTTATGTTGGGCGTGTCGGACCTCTCTCTTGCACCGTATGGGGAAAGTGGTATTGTGGGTGTTACGTTTGTATGACTGAATATTGTTGAAATGTTTGGATTATTTGCAACTGATGTCGTTATGTCCTTGGTTTTTTTTCATTTCATCAGTTAATAAGGAATGGGGAATTGTTGGACATGCGTTAGATAGTACCAACCTTGTAGATGGGGTGACGAGTTTACGCCCTTGGACTATTTCGTTATTAGTTTTAATGCTTCCATAGTTATTGATAAAGCTTTCAACAATATCTTGGCTTTTAAGGTACATACACACTCTATTATTGGATAATCTAGAGGTAAATAAGATATTCTGGGGCCCAATAATAGCTTCAAGCGGTATTAGATAATCTTGAATTTTTGTATTTTCAATAGACAGGAAAATTATTGCTTGATTTTTAGTTAGATATTGGTGCTGAGAAATCACAGAGGAGTAAGATTTAGTAGTGTGTTCATTTTGGGAGCTTTTGTACTCAGAAGTCCCTGATAAAGTACTTAATATATTAATTTGTGAATTTAGTCGAACCTAAAAGTCTGTGGTCGAAGCAACATTTACCATACAGCCGATGAAACTTTCTTGATAAGGCGAGAAATTTGTTAGTTTTTTGCTATCGATTCGGTTCCAAAACCAGGTTAGAAATGGATATTTAACTTATATTGTGTGGTATTTTATAGTTTTTATTTACAGAGCGGGATGTGACACACTGAAGAACACTAATATTCAAAATATTTGAAAATCTGTTTATTATGAGCTGAATAAATTCACTATTTTACAATTTAATCAAACCGGACTACCAAAAGTATATTATAGAAGTGTATTATAGAGATTGAGAAGCAGATGTAAAGTGTATTTTCTATTTTATAGTTGCTCTGTGCTAATGGTTACAATTAATTTTCTGTCAATCTTATAATACATTAAAAAAAAAAACTTTTTTACTTGAATGAAACCTGCAACGACTTTTAGATTCCCTAGGTCGTCCACAGATGGAGCTCTCAGCTCCGTCCTCCACGTTCAAGAGTCCAATCTGAGTTCGGATGACTTCCACGAAGCGCTGTTCCTTCTGGAAAGGTCGCCGAAAACCAGGGACTCCAAACGAAGGAAAAAATCGAAGAAGCGGGAGAAGGAGGACAAAAAAGAGGATCAAAGTTCTGTTTTGTAAATTATGGTGCCGGGTTGTTTAAAACGAGGAATATTTGCTTTTTGATTTGAGATTGAAACTTGGCTGTTGAAGAGGTGTTTTTTATTGGTTCTTAATATAATGAAAGTAAACTCTTATTATTTAAATGTGTTGAAATTTATGGAACTGTATGACGTTTTGTTATAAGTAGGTGGTTGTTAAAATTATCATTTTCTTTAAAATGTAAATTAAGGCTGGTAGTAGATCTTACAATATCTTGTAGAACATTCTAAATAGTTTCACATATTATCCATTTATATCCCAAATTGGCCCTTTACATGGCAATACATTTAAATTATCAGTAAGTTGATTTTGATTACCAATCTAATGCACAAATGACATTTTGTGTATTTATAAGGAATGATCATACATGTATTTGGTTTAGAGATTATTTGGCAAGACAGCATAAAATCATAAAGGATGAACTGTCGCAGCACATAACCTCTGAAAAATGATAACTCATATTATATAGAGTGAAATATATTTTTCCAAAGCCACCCCGAGTTCAAATGAACAAAAATAGGTTACTCTATATTTCACATAGCGCTGTTGTCAGACGTAACACTTCTTCCGATTATTGTACTACTAATATTAAAAGTATCGTAAACTTGGCATCAATGTTTAATTAAAATATGTCTGCAAGGGTCTCCTAGAATGTGAATTCATGTTGGCTTTGGAAATAACTTAAAAGTATCGAAAAATAAATAATTTTTAGCTTTTAATCAGATATAGTTTAAAATTATGGCTATTATTTGTTAAACACATTTTATTTTCCTCTGTCAAGAGTGCCAAGTTTCAATTTTAATCAAAAAACGAAAATCTATCAGTTATCGTCTCCACTTAAAAAGACTGTTTAATTGTTAAGTGATCTGTTAAATAAAAAATTATTAAAACGAAACCGTGATTTTGTGATAAACATTATGGCAAGAAATGTGACCAAAAAAAAAATGTTAAAAAAAAACTTGTTACTTATTATTTCAACATTTTATACAGCGATAAACGATAAGCACAAAAAAATGGAAGATTTTTAGGAATATTAGAACTCTTAGTAGTCGGATATGTATAAAACAAAATCTTTTTTATTACTGTAATATAAGAAATCCAAAAATGTTCGTTTAAGTATTTTACACTTTTGTAAAAATCTGTATTTTTTAGATTGCTGTATAACATGTTAAAAATGCTTTTTAATACTTGTCCAAATCTAATTTTTTTATTAAATTTACATATATTGAATGTACACAGTGAAAGTGATATCACAGTATTATTTTGTTTAATCAATTATAACTATAAAGAGAGATTCACATGAAACAGATCAAGTTATTTACTAAAATAAAGTTAAAGTTACTTTTAGTACTTGTTACCGTATTTCAATATCCGAAATATAAAATAAAATGATGAGTTTTATATGAATCACCCTATATATTTATAGTGCGTTCAAAAAGTCTGTCCGCCTTCTATTTCCAAAATATGATGTCTCCAAGCTCTATAAGAAGTTAATACCTTAGTGAAAATCAAAAATTGTGACTGTTGTTTTGAAAGTACCTACTTACAAACTATTTACAAATAAAAATCATACAATGTACCTATATGATGTAGTCTTATAGTGAAGTTCGTCTGTCTTTTCATGAAGATCCTAGTCACAAAACAAAGCGTCGGCATATTGTGTAAAATCATGAAGCTACACAATCACCCAAGGCATTCTTTTGAGGTATAATGCGTAACATAATCTGACTAAATTTAAATAACGGCACTTTGTGAAGTAACGATTTATAGTCGTCAGATTGTGTAAAGTGTTTAATTTACCTGGTTTTATTGAAGCTGGTATTAATTTTGTTATTATTTGTGGTTATTATAGAGGAAAATATTAAAAATAAGTTGTTTAATGCTTAATATAACAAATATTATACGTCATGTCCGAACAAAAGACTATACAACATGCAGCAGTTAGTAAGACATAAACAATTGTTTGAGGTTATGTTATAAATCATGCAAAATATACGTAAACATCAAAGCTAGATCATATAGAGTGGACTCAATAATAATTATTTAAGTATATTCATAGGGTAAATCCGTATATGGTGCGTTTAGATCTTACTAGAGATTTTTGGTTTGGGGCTCTTAATTAGTTTCAAGCTAGAAGATTTACTATAAGCTTTATAATTGAATGTGTTATTTTAGGAAAGTCATTTGTCACAAAACACTAGTTTTGGTAAACTCAAAAAAACAGTATCATTTCCAAAAAAGCTTAAAGAAAAATTTCAAAACAAATCAGATGCATACATATATGTATTAGAAATGTTTTAGTAAGCTTGGAATAGAAAAACATTTTTATATGACTACAGGGTTGCCCATAATTTTTTTTGGACAAATCACGTTTCTAAAATAAACATGAAGGATTTCAAAAATAAAATGTGCAAATTACTTTAAACATGTATTTTATATGTTGAACTCAAGAGTATAATCATTAACCTTCATCTTCTTCAGTGGTAGTAGGCCAGCTGCGTAGATTCTCGTAAAAATCTAGGTATTGGGAAGGTATATACTTGATCAATTTCTCGATATCCCGTTTTTTTTCCACATTAAGTGGCACCTTGCCATTATAAGCTGGCTCATTCGGCAATTCAACAGGGGCACCAGCAGACATACGAAAATGGTGATACTTCGAGATTAAAAATGAAACTTTGTTTTCCTTAGGAACATGTCTCCCTTTTGTTTCATATGATAGTGTTTTCTTCCTGTAATGCAGTGGCCACCATTGTTTATAATCTTTAATATCCTCTGTGGAAACCATTGTTACCATAGCCTTTTTTGGTGTCTTGGTTGCATTTGAAATTTGTTTAACGTATTGCTTGGGAACGTATACTCTATCAAGCCATTTTATTCGTCTCTTCAGGGTGCCAAAATTTCTGTCATTTGGCATGAAAGAATGACCACGGATGGGCGTGTAGTAGTTGATAGTCTCAAACCTCTTTGTTTGAACCAATGCACACAAGAATCTCAGTAAAGTGTGGTTCCGATTCTGGCCACCACATGCATCGGAGAAAAGATGAAGGTGTCGCACTTGGGGAGGTAGCTCGTTTTGAACATACATATTAAGCATTGTACATACTTCGTCTGGACCTTTTTTGGCTTGGCCTTCATGATAAACGTAATACATTGAGTTACCAGCGCTGATATTATGAATATTAAAGACGTTAACCCAGAGTTGCCGATAATAGAACACCTCTTGTACGGGGATGTGAGGAAGGGGAAGATTTTGCATAAAATCCATAGATATCCCTGCAGTGTCATCCCTACCCAGAGATTCCATAGATTTCATTTTGGAGTAAAACTTTCTTGATCTCCTTTTATGTACCTCTAATTCAGCCTCAGCCACCCTCTTGGCATGTGGGTTGAGTTCGTTACTGTTCTTCCAAACCTCAAGTCAAAGTTCTGTCTGGAAAACTTTTGGTAATAAAAGTAGGAAACTCTCGAGTCTGGGTGCTCTTCTTTAAACAGCTCATACATTGCTTTTATAGTGAGCTCTGCACTTAGATACTTGACCTCCGAGTTTGAGTAGCGTGCAGTTTTTGTGGGGAATTTATTTATATGCGCCCTGATTTCTTGGCAGTCTGACTCAGGCATCTTATATCGATTGTCTTGTTGACCTCTCATATCTTTTGGGATATTCCCCTGCTGCAGCAGTGAAGTCAGACGTCGGAGTCTTTTCTCTGTTATGCCGAACAAACTGATAAAAGCTTTTTTGCAAACCTTTTTTTCGTTTACATAATAGAGGAATACAGCTGACCGAACAAACACATTTTTTCTTGATCTCTGGCGCTTCACAAGCTTCAATTTGACTCTGCTTTACAGGTAGACATCCTGAGCATCTTTACTCGATAGTTTGGAGAAATTTTCGATGAGAGATGTCTTTTGATCATCTGTGAATTTTTCAGTGCATTTCCAACGACATCTGGAACAAATAGAAAAAACTAATAAGTGATTAGATTCCATAGGTTTATATTAAATTTTAACCAGATTATTAGTTTTTTCAATTATAACTAGAGAACAAAATAAATCGTATATTACCTGCAATCACCTCCATACTGGCGAGCTGGAACTTCGTTACCAACACTGTTTACATACGAAGCACCTTCCAGTCTAGCTTTCTTGATTCTTACCCATTTGTAACTGTTCGCATTTCTCACTCCTTTTTTTCTTTTTTTTTGTTGATTTTCTGGATCATTCATTTTTTCTTAAATAAACCGAATGAATATTATTTAAAGCACGTTTACAACTCAACCACCTGTTGTCTACTAAGAAATCAACGAAATAGATAAAAAACAAACTGTCAACATTGTCCCATCTCCTTCTATCGTTGCCACCTTCTAACCGTTTGTTCTTATCAAAGTGGGGGCACTTTTGACGCGTTTATTATAGTAAGGTCAGATGTCCCGGACAACCGACGTTTCTTAAATAAAACTGTCGAAGGCCACATCTTTCAGCGTGAATAAAAACGTCGTAGATGCCTGAATATGTGCCGTTTCTACTATCAACATGTAAAGATAATGACATTTGATGGATTTTTCAACAAAAATATTTTTCGCTATATTGGACAACTGACCTTCCTAAAATAACACATTCAATTAGTTTAAATTTATTTCACATATTTCAGTTGCCGGATATTGATCCTGATAATCCTGATTTAAAAGAATTCAACATTTTTTGTTTGTTCTATTACTTCCACATCACACAAGGTGAGGGAAAATTGTTACACTGGTTTTTGATATCTTAATTTATTTCAACTCAACTTTTACAATAACTTTACAACTGATAACAATAACGTATAACGTCTATCATAAAACTGACTCACTGACGTCAGGATTACCGACTTATATAGAATTGCTTTAACCTTCTCGAACTTTCTCGAACTGTCCAGGTTTTTGATTACTGGGACCTGGTTGGAACTAGCGACGTAGATCTGGACCACGGCAAGGCGCTAA